AAAAAAAAAACACATGTCACTGTTGTCCCAACATTTCTCATGTGTGGGTTCATTTCTGTTCCCATCTTCCCTTTGATCTTCACCCCTCAGCTTCTCCATCTATTCCCACGTCCTTGTGCCCCTCTCTTTTCTTTGGTCCCTCACCCTGACTTCCACCCAGGGCAGCAGCTCCTCAGATCTCTCCGTCACACCTGGTCTTTCCCCTGTACTTGGGTGTCCATCCCTCGTCTGTGTTGGACATTCCTACAACTTCTAGATGATCCAGAGGTGTGGTGAGAACTTGTGCATCCTAGGAAATGGCAAGGACCTATTCCTTCCAAAAGGATTCCTACTAAATCAATTCTTAGACTTGTTTTCCCACCTCTTCCCATCCCATAGGTCCACCTCCTTATATGTCCTCAGCCTGATTGGAACTCTTTTTTTTTTTCTTTAATAGCTGTATCGAGATACAATTCACATGCCATACGATTCACTCATTTAAAGTACGCAAAGGATTTTAGTATATTCACAGCATGTGCATCTATCAATTAATCAATTTTAGAACATGTTCATCACCCCAACTAATTGGGCTGCTTCTGATTTTGTTGTTGTTGTTTTGTTTTAATTAATAAATTTTATTTATTAGAGCAGTTTTATGTTTACTGAAAGTTGAACAGAAAGTACAGAGTTCCTACAATCACCCTTCCCCACCATACACACACAGTTTCCTCTGTTATTAATATCTTGTATTCTGTGGTATATTTGTTACAATGGGTGAAGCTGTATCCACACATTACCAATAGAGATCAATAGTTTACGTTAGGTTCACTCTTGGTGTTGTACATTCTGCAGGTTTGGGTAAATGTATAATGCCATATTTCCATCATGATAGTATCATGCAAGGTAGTTCCATTGCACTAAATATCCTTTGTGTTCCACCTGTTTTTCCCCTCCCTCCACCCTAACTCCTGGAAACCACTGGTTATTTTACTCTTTCTAGTTTTACCTTTTCCAGAATGTCCTGTAGTTGGAATCATGCAGTATGTGGCCTTTCTTAACTGGCTTTCAGTGAGCGGTAAACATCATGTGTGTCCTTCACACCACCTTCTGACATTCCCCTAGCCAGAGGTGTTCAGTTTATCTTGTGTGTTCCTGATCTTTCTTACCCCGTAACTCTCACCCACAGCCTCTGTTATTTTTTTCCTCTGAAGTGTCACCTAATTTTACTTGTCCTTGGTCCTTCAAATGATGCCATTCTGATTCAGTTTATGGGCAGTGTCTTTCTTCTCATCTATCCTAGATAATTACTTTCTAACTGACCCATACAGTCTGTTTTCCTCATTTTGCAATTTTGACGGAGACACTGTATAAAATGTCTGACCTCCTTTGCCCAGTTTCCAATGACCAGGCACATCTTGGACACATCTTAGCCACCCAAAGACTTCTTTCCTTCTTCCTGTCTCCAAATACCCTTTCACTCCCTGTCATTGGGCCATTGTTTCATTCGAAAAAGTTCTCATCATCAGGGATTCCAAGGCAACACCAAAAAGGAACACAGCAGAGTCTTGGGAAGGAGAACAGTGTTGGTCGTGGAGTGTGTTGGGCTCAGATAAGGACTTTGGGAAAGGGAAATGTCCCCCTGGAAGTCAAAGGAGGGCCACAGAGTGTAGTTAATATTTTACCAAATGGAGGATCCTTGTCTCCTTAGCAGACTTGGAGAGTGAAGCATGGGGACTTGATCAGAGGCCTCGATAGTACTAGACGTGGGTGGCTATGTGACTGAAATGGGAAGAGTGACAAGTAAAGGGGGAATCTTGGAGGACCCAGGCAAGGTCCTGAGCTGGGAAGTTGCTAGTTAGTGAAGCCCAGTTGCAGCCCAGCCTGGCCAACTACTGCTTCAAGTACTACAGTCCTTTCTGGGAAGTCTGTGGCATTGGTTACAGAGTGGTTAAAGAGCTTTTCTTCTGTGGGTAGCCTGAAGAAATAGTAGAAATGGTGTGTTAAGAATATTAAGTCAGTGTTGGTGTTTGGGATCCTGTTTCAAGATCCAGAATCAGAAAATAGATAGACTAAGAATTGGGGTCAGTAGTCTAGGTTGAGGTACCAGTTAGGCTCCTGTATTAATTTCCTGTGGCTGCTGTAACAGATTTCCAGTTGGGTGGCGTAAAACAACATGAACTGATTCTCCCACAGTTCTGGAGGCCAGAAACCTGAAATCAATACCATTGGGCTGAAATCAAGGTATAGAGTCAGGCTCCCTTGGAGGGGTCCAGGAGGAAATCTGTTCCTTGCCTCTTCCACCTTCTGGTAGCTCCAGCATTCCTTGGCTTGTGCCCACATCACTTCAGTCTTTAAGGCCAGCATCTTCAAATCTCTTTGTTCCGTGTTCATATCACCTCTGTATCAAATCTCTACCTCCCGCTTGTAAGGACACTTCTGGTGACATTTAGGGCCCACACAGATACTCTCCCTATCTCAGTTTCCTTAATTTTTGCACCTGCGAAGACCCTTTTTCCAAATCAGGTACCGTATTCACAGGTACCAGCAATTAGAATGTAGATATCTTTGTGATTATCGAAGGCTGTCTACCTTTAGGTCCAATTCTGTTGTGGATCCCTCCTTTAATCTCTACCTGCTTATTCTTACTCCTCTTCTCCCTCTTTGGGGACCAGTCCTCCTGGGTCACCTCTTCATTATCTTTCCTTTTTTTTATACTTTATCACTGATACCCTGTTTACTGATCCATCTCCTTTTTTTTTATATCCTGCATGAAATTACAATCCATGGATTAGAAACAAACCCAGAGATACCTCTCATACTTGGTGGTCTCCTTCATCCCATCCTCCCCCTCTAATGCATCTCCAGTAATTCAGGTATATTGGATTTCTTTCAGACTGGAAGAATACATTTGAAAAGAAAGAGTCAGCTTCCAAAGAGGATTTTACTGTGGAAGAACCATTCCATCACATAGCAATGAAACACTGCATACGGGAGGAAGGTCCCTGGTTGGTGTCATTAGGAGAAAGGCAGGATTGGAGGAACCAGCTAAGGGAGCACCAGGAGGACTCTTTGAGTCAAATGGTACTTACCTCAGAGACACTGTTTGCTCAAGGGGAACATTGTGAGCATGACCTTGGGGGAAGTTACTTGAGTATAAGCCTTCTACCTCCAATATTACCCACAAGAGCACATGTCCATACTCTTGACTCACATGTTAAAAAGTTGGAACAGAATTCAGGTTTCATTAATCATGAGAAAGGCTGGACTGATCGGAAGCCCTATGAAAACCACCAAAGTGCTAGAGCCTTCTGCCAGAGCATTTATTTGAAAAAACTTGGAAACGTTGAAATGAGAAATAAAAAGCCTTACGAATATACTGTCAGTAGTGACTCTTTCAGCTGTGGTACCTCCCTTCGATTTCATAATAGACTTTTTTCAGCAGAGAACAACAGTAACTGCACAGACTATGGAAACATTGTTAATCATAGCATGTCTCCAAATGAACACAAGCCGATGCATTTTAGAGAATGTCAGGATGAGCGTGATGAATGCCTTGTACAAACCGAAATAAGTGATCCTAGAGAAGCACCATTTAGATGTGAGGAGGAACGTAATGCCTTCCACACAGCCTCATCTTTTACTGACTGTGACATCGTTCAGACAGGAAAGAAGCCACATGCATGCCGTCAGTGTGGAAAATCTTTCAGCTGTGCCTCTAAGCTTGTTGTACACCAGAGAACACACACTGGAGAAAAGCCCTATGAATGTACTCAGTGTGGGAAGTCTTTCAGCCAGAGCTATGACCTCGTTGTACATCAGAGAACCCACACTGGAGAAAAGCCCTATGAATGTAACCAGTGTGGGAAATGCTTCACCCAGAGTTCCAAACTTACGAGGCATCAGCGAACTCACACTGGAGAAAAACCATATAAGTGTCATGAATGTGGAAAATCTTTCGGGTGGAACTCTAACCTTATTGTACATCAAAGAATTCATACTGGAGAGAAACCCTATGAGTGTACTCATTGTGGAAAGTCCTTCAGCCAGAGCTCTGACTTTGTTTCACATAAAAGGACTCACACTGGAGAGAAACCCTATAAATGTAACCAGTGTGGAAAGTCCTTCATTCGAAGCACTCAACTTATTAGGCATCTGCGAATTCACACTGGAGAGAAGCCGTATAAATGCAATCAGTGTGATAAAGCTTTCACTGGTAGCTCTCACCTTACTGAGCATCAGAGAACTCATACTGGAGAGAAACCTTTTGAATGTAATCAGTGTGGGAAAACCTTTACTGGGAGCTCTCACCTTCTTTCACATCAGAGAATTCATTCTGGAGAGAAACCATATGAATGTAACAACTGCGGGAAATCTTTTCGGCAGCGATCACAGCTTGTTGTGCATCAGCGAACCCACACTGGAGAGAAGCCTTATGAGTGCAGTCATTGTGGAAAAGCTTTCAGCCAGAGGTCTCCCCTCGTTGTGCATCAAAGAACACACATTGGAGACAAGCCCTATCAGTGTAACATGTGTGTTAAAGCCTTCAGTCAGAGGTCACGCCTTATTGAACATCAGAGAACACATACTGGAGAAAAGCCCTATGAATGCATTGACTGTGGAAAAGCCTTTAATGATCGGTCAACACTTACAAAACACGAGAGAACACACACTGGCGAGAAACCTTATGAATGTAATCATTGTGAAAAGGCCTTTAGTCAGCGATCTCAGCTTACTAGGCATCGGAGAATTCATACTGGAGAAAAACCCTATGAATGTAATGAATGTGGGAAGGTTTTCAGTTATAATACATCCCTTATTCAACATGAAAAAACTCATGGGAGATACCTCTGAAACAAATAATGCAATATATGTTAAGAAAAAAAAGAAGAAGGGGCGCCTGGGTGGCTCAGTCGTTAAGCGTCTGCCTTCGGCTCAGGTCATGATCCCAGGGTCCTGGGATCGAGCCCCACATCGGGCTCCCTGCTCGACGGGAAGCCTGCTTCTCCCTCTCCCACTCCCCCTTCTTGTGTTCCTGCTGTCCCTATCTCTTTGTGAAATAAATAAAATCTTCAAAAAAAAAAAAAAAAGAAAAGATAGCAGGAGGGGAAGAATGAAGGGGGGAAATCAGAGGGGGAGACAAACCATGAGAGATGATGGACTCTGAAAAACAAACTGAGGGTTCTAGAGGGGAGGGGGGTGGGAGGATGTGTCAGCCTGGGGATGGGTATTAAAGAGGGCACACTCTGCATGGAGCACTGGGTGTTATGCACAAACAATGAATCATGGAACACTACATCAAAAACTAATGATGTAATGTATGGTGAATAACATAACAATAGAAAATTAAAAAACTCATGGGAGAAAGTTGAGAAGCTCACTGCCAAACCTTCATTAGACATCAGCTGACAAAGGTATGACTCTCAGTGTGGTCTAATGATCACGTGCATCAGATTTGCTCGGTGTTCTTGAAACTGCACATTACCAAGCTTACCTTGATCTACTAAATCAGATTCTCTGGCAGTAAAACCCAGGAGCCTGCAGTTCCCAAAAGGTGCATAAGTAATTTGTATGTACATTAAAATGTGTTTATGTCTGCATTTAGATGAGAAGCTATGAACATACCACTGATTTAAAACTTTATCAAGGTCTCAGCAGGAGTTAGGAAATTCAGTATGTAGCTATACTCACCAAATAATCTTTTTAGTGTAAACAACTACCCGAACTTTAATCAGACATTGTTCCTGTAACACATTCCTAGAAATAGTGGACTGGAAGATATTCTCTTTTTTTATTTTATTTTTTTGGACTGGAAGATACTCTTGATGCAAAGCCGCGAACACTCAATCTAAGAAGAAATCTTTGCATGACAAAGTTGGTGTTGAGTGATGAAATATGAAGCCAGCCAATGTAAAACAGTTAACAAATTGGAGGAGGACTGAGGATGGAAAGTCTTCTGAAATGGTTCTAATTGGAATTAAAAGTAGAATCTGAATGTATCAAGGACTCCATTGTGCTCTAATTTAACTTTGTTGCTCAGTTAGGTTGACTATAATCAGAGCTGAGGATATAGCAATATGGAAAATACCAAGTGAAGTGAAAACAGAACCCAATGTAGTATATACACAAAATGTTATAACCACATAAAAAACATGTACACAGATGGTTGGTTAAGAAAGTCAGCTCAGGGCCGCCTGGGTGGCTCAGTCGTTAAGCGTCTGCCTTCGGCTCAGGCCATGATCCCAGGGTCCTGGGATCCAGCCCCACATGGGGCTCCCTGCTCGGCGGGAAGCCTGCTTCTCCCTCTCCCACTCTCCCTGCTTGTGTTCCCTCTCTCACTGTGTCTCTCTCTTTCAAATAAATAAAATCTTTTTAAAAAAAAGCTCAGCAGCATGTTCAAAACAAAGGCTGAAGTGTAAATCAACAGTGGTGAAGAAAGTGGGAGAGGCCTTACCTGCAAATTTGAGCAAGTTGAAAGAAGGTATGAGAGCATCACCTGGAGATGCAGAGTGGAAAGGCTGAAGCTAGGATCATGTGAAGAGAGGGCTGCAGCAGTCGAGGCCACAGCTCCCTAGCAGAGCTGTACACCAAGAGGTGGGGGAGAAAAATGGGGTTAATTGAAGATCTGTCTGAAACTCCAACAAATTTTCTCTCCCTTCTCCCCTATTTTTCTTGTCTTACAGTGAGTATCTGGCTGTTGGTAAGGAGAAAATAAAGTAGGAAGGAAGTTATGTACTAAAAATCGTCTGGGGGACTAGGGAATTTGGTGGATTATGTTCCAGAACAAGGACTGCCTTATTTGAGCATCCTGAGGACCTTCACCCTAACAGCTGGTTCTTGTACTTTTCACCCTCTAGAAAAGCATCCCATTAAACTGGTCTCACCCACCACTATCTTCTTTGATAGCCTCTTCAATATGGATGGGAGCCAAGGTGTGAAAGATGAAGAAAGCCTTCAACATGAAAGAAAAAAAAAAAGTAAGATAAAACAGAAGCCAGGCCCAAAGAGAACAGATATTTGGGGAACCAAATATGTAAAAGTTTTATTCTAAGAGTGAGTCAAAAAATAATTGCAAGTGAAAAAGATGCTTTTTTTAAGATGGATTTTTTTAGCGAGAGAGCAAGGGGGAGAGGGGCAGAGGGAGAGGGAGAGACAATCTCAAGCAGACTCCGTGCTGAGTGCAGAGCCCAATGCTGGGCTTGATCTCACGACCCTGAGATAACGACTTGAGCTGAAACCAAGAGTCAGATGCTTAACCGATTGAGCCACCCAGGTACCCCAAGATCCATGTATTTGACCCTGATGCTAATACTTCTTAGAAGAGGCAGAGGAGGAGCGCCTGGGTGGCTCAGTTGGTTAAGCGACTGCCTTCGGCTCAGGTCATGATCCTGGAGTCCCAGGATCGAGTCCCGCATCGGGCTCCCTGCTCGGCGGGGAGTCTGCTTCTCCCTCTGACCCTCCCCGCCTCATGCTCTCTCTCTCTCAAATAAATAAAATCTTAAAAAAAAAAAAAAGAGGCAGAGGACTCATGAAATTGGAATAAAAGGGGGGGATATATAATCAGATTGTTCTGACTGAACAGTATTTGCATAGATATGATATAAACAGTAGGTACTGAGTTTTTGTTTTTGTTTTCTGCTTTTTTTAAGGAAGAAAGCCAGGCTGTGACAGGAGGATTTCATAATGGCAAGAGTATGATGTTCCCAGCACTGTGATAACTGTAATGGTATGGTCTCTGGCTGTTGTAAAGTAGAAGGGGAAAGAGACGTAGTGGGGAGAGGAGTATCCCTGTATCCTCATCTTAGGAAGCAGCCTCTTGACTATAATATGATACATAGGTTATTTAGGAGACCAAAATTAGAGCATAAAACGGTAATAATTCCAGAAATTGGAAGCAAATAGAGGAGCAACAGTGTGAGCCAAATCTACATTCCTTATCAGCAGGAAGTCAGTAAAGTCTACAGGCCATAAAAGATCAGAATTACAGGAGCGCCTGGGTGGCTCAGTCGTTAAGCGTCTGCCTTCGGCTCAGGTCATGATCCCAGGGTCCTGGGATCGAGCCCTGCGTCGGGCTCCCTGCTCGGCGGGAAGCCTGCTTCTCCTCTCCCACTCCCCCTGCTTGTGTTCCCTCTCTCGCTGTCTCTCTCTCTGTCAAATAAAGAAAGAAAATCTTAAAAAAAAAAAAAGATTAGAATGACAGAGATGGCCTCAGGAAGAACTGGAATAGAAACAGTTAAAAGTTGTTGATGGGATGTGTGACTGTTGGGTAGGGTGGGGCAGGGGATCACTGGTTTTCTTTTTATACCTTCCATAGTAACTCATTCCCTGGTGGTACACTACTTATTTGGGTAACAAATTATTTCCAATATGTACCTATAGGTGAGCAAAACAACAGTACATGAGGACATCTGCAATTGATTTGTGGGATTATATACAGTTTTCTTTCTTTTGATTCGGTGTTGCAATAATAGATTGACAATTTAACAAACAAGAGCACAAAAAAACGATGTCAGACTTTTCTATTTGGCCAATTAGACTTCATCCAGAAGGGCAGGAAGGCTCCTTGATTTCTTAGAAGTCCCTGGTATCAAAGGGGGGTGGCTTAGTCTTTTAAGACTTGATTTTCCAGAAGCCTTAATACCAGTCAGAAGGCCCCCAAGAGTGGGGACCTGGAGAGGTGCTGGTATCCTGAGACAAGATGGAGCAAGACAGTTGTGTGAGTTTGCATAACCAAGTACTGAACGTACTTCCCCCAAGGTCACTCTGGCAGTTACCTGGAATCTGTCATAAAGCCCTTTAAGTAATACAGCTCTTGTGATTCATATGAGACCTGAGGTTGAGATGGAAAATATCTTGGCTAGGGCATCCCGCACAGAACAGGTGGGGACTTAGCTTCCTGATTGGATAGTTGGTCCTGCTTGCTGCCTGCACCAATGTTACTGCATAACTCTCAAGAGATGCCAGAGCATGGGAGGAAGAACCTGCCCAGCAGATCAGCAAAGTGCACGTTGTTTGACAATTCTTGTTGACCAAACGTCTGAGAGGTGTCTGCATTCAGCAAGTCATGAATGTAGCCTCCATTCAACGAAGGCACTGCTAGGGACTCAGGTACGGATGTGTGTGATGCCACAGTGTCCTCAAGTCCCTCTTTCCATAGTGGAGACTCCACGCACAGGCTTAGTGGCTATGTGCGCCCAGAGACTACGCCCAGTGGGAATTGGAAGGAGATGGAGATGAAGGGATAGGGAAAGGAAGGATGCAGCTGCTGCTGTGTATGCAACCAGTGCCTAGGCCCTGCTCTGATAGGTGTTCTACCTCCTCCTAAGTGAGAAACCTGAGGCTCATCGGGGACCCAAGAAGTGGGCTCATTTGAAATAGGAACCTGAGGGGCACCTGGGTGGCTCAGTCGGTAAGCGTCTGCCTTCAGCTCAGGTCAGGATTCCAGGGTCCTGGGATCGAGCCCCACATTGGGCTCCCTGCTCGGCAGGGAGTCTGCTTCTCCCTCTCCTTTTGCCTTTCCCCTGCTCATTCTCTCTCGCTCGCTCTGTCTCGCACAAATAAATAAAATCTTTTAAAATCTCATATTAACTAATTAGAAAGTGAAAACACACATGACAAAGTCACAAGAACTTCATATAAGACAGAATTATAAAATGATGCAATTATTAAAAAATAAGGTAATCAGGGGCGCCTGGGTGGCTCAGTCGTTAAGCATCTGCCTTCGGCTCAGGTCATGATCCCAGGGTCCTGGGATCGAGCCCCGCATCGGGCTTCCCGCTCTGCTGGAAGCGTGCTTCTCCCTCTCCAACTCCCCCTGCTTGTGTTCCCTCTCTCGCTGTGTCTCTCTCTGTCAAATAAATAAATAAAATCTTTAAAAAAAATAAATAAAAGCCAAGTTGCCAGATGCCAGCCAAGGGCCAA